GAATCACTGAGCTGCTCTTGTTCTTCACAGTTAGAAGGTGGGAGCTCTCGTCAAATGATGATCTCCAGCATCATCTTGTTCATGCCAGGCTTTTCATCCACTGACCACAGACACCTGTAAACATCAGGGGGACCAGTAGCTGTTTAACACATCTGGAAGGAAACCAGTGAGATTTTAATATGACCATGACCATTATGATATGATGTTATGCGGGGAGTGGTGGAGCAGAGGTTAGAAGATGGGCCTGTGATGGGAAAGTCACAGGTTCAACTCCCGGTACCGTCAACATCAAAATGTGGGTGGAAATGGTGAAACACCCACACCTGCCTCCACCCTCATTGGCCCCACTCTGGGCCCCTGAGCAAGGCACTCAACCCCCACCATCTGCTCCTAAACAGGTCTCTCTAGAAAATGAGTTCTCGTGACTCAGTGAGACTACCTGGATAAATAAAGAGTAAATGAAAAAAAATAAAAGTTTAAAATAGAAATACTCACATCATTAGGCCGAGGTTGTGTGTGTGTGACGTGCACATTCCTGAGAGGCCACAGACAGAGCAGCTGCAGCTTTTGTTGAGTTCCTGTAGTCCTGCAGTTTTCAAGCTGAAATGAAAAAACATCATAAATATGAACTTTACAGTCTATGGTTACCTGTTCATATAAACACATGGAGGTGTCTCACCTTGTGACTGACAATAAAATATGTAACTTTATGAACTCTAATGAACTTATAATGATGCTCCTACTCTTTTAAGGTGAACCGATGGTACCACACCATCTCTCAGTCGGACAGTCTGATCAGTTTTATCAAAATCCTCACTGCTCAGATGAATCCTCCTCAAAGATACTTCCTCCTCTTCCTCACATCTTGTTCTTTGGGAAACCTTCAAAATGAAAACAGGAGATTTGTGTCTACACAAAAACATTGTACAAAGGAGGTCAAGCTTATTTTCTATTTCCTATATTCTCCCTAGTTTTATTTTTTTATTTCCTAGAACTTAAACAAAACTCCAGTTCTGATGCATATCTGTTGATAATGAACCAAAGCTACAGAAATAGTGAGTATGATTGTTAGCAAAATATTCCTGTCATCAGATCTCAGTCAGTTTCATTGCAGCTGAACACCGTGTTACACTGAACATCACATCAGCTGGTGGACATAAATACAGTACAGTAATATTATATTCACAAAATACTAACAATAATATGTTCATCTTACTTGTGAAAAGTTATTCCCCGAGACCTGACGTCAACAGTCCGTCGATTAGAACAGAAATAAGCTGCGAAGTGCTGAGACATCTTCTGCTTTAACCAAATAAGGACGACCGTTCCAAGATGGCGGCCGAAAATCTTGCGCCGCAGTAGCCAATGAGGCATTTAGTGTTTATATCTATGCCACCTTTTTTTTATTATTAATAACACACAGAACTACAAAACACTACAAAAGAGAAAGATATATACAAACACTCGTGAAGGGTGTCAGAACTACAGTTTACAAGCTGGGGGGGGGGGGGGGGGGGTTACAAAATGATGAAAATTGAGTATACATATAAAAAACATTAAATGAAAAGAATAAACATAAGAAACAAAAAGGAGCAAAACAATATGAGAAACTTAAAACAAGTTTTTTGATATCTGTTGTGAAATGGTTCTAGCAGTTTTCCAGTTTTTTAAACTACTTATTGAAGAATAGTACAACTTGAATTCGTTCATAAAACACGGGAAGGAGGGCTTATTATCCATCCACTTACTACAATGAATGTGGTACTTTGCTATAAGGATGACTATATTTATAGCATCAGAGTAAGCTGAGCTTAAATTATCCATATAAAATAAAATGGCATCAGCATCAAAGGAAGGAATGTTAAGTTTTAGATTGTAAAAATTACAGTTTGTAATGTCAGTCCAGAAACTTTGTGAGTACTGACATGAAAAAAACAAATGTTCAAGGGATTCATCTTCAGATTTACAAAAGGTGCACAAATCCACCTCAAATTTAAATCTTCTGTGCAGAAGCATGGCTACTGGATAGATCTTATTTATTATTTTTAAATGGTTTTCTTTCACTTTAGGAGATATAGGCCATTTGACAAATTTCGAATGAGCAGAAGTCATTATGGTTTTATGATTTATATTGGGAGGTTTCTTGAATGAATCTTTGTTGTAATCATAGTAAATCGTTTGTCGCATGCATTCATTGATAATCTTGTTATTACATTTGAGATCAACTAAACTACAGTCATTTAGTTTTAATGTGGGCATCGAAACGGTCACCTTTGAATACATAATGATATTTTTAATTAACCGAATTATCTTTTAATTAACTGAATATCTATGCCACCTGAGTCCTCCTGAGTCGCTTTCCTGAGTCGACTGTAGTTTTTAGCCGAGCGGATGCTCATGGGAAATGTAGTGTCGAACACCATTATACGTATAACTAATGCGACCGTCGCACAAAAACACAATGACGCGAGGTAAAGCCAGTTGGAGCTACAGTTATCAAGCTTTTGATCAAGTGCTTTTGATTGTAAACGCTTTTAAGTAATCTAACGGTGTTAGCAGCGGAGTTTTGTACAATTTGTAGAGAAGTTTGGTAAATAAATATTTAGTTGTGAAACCGAACATCAGTGATTTCGGACCTGAACAGGCGGAGAGCGTCGGCGGTAAATCTTATCTATTTACTCCACTTCTTTTAAATTAATTGACTGCAACTTAAACATTTTTTTTTTATCTGTATGCTATGCATGTATCCGAGCTTTACCATTTGTGGTACTTGAGCATCCTGTTTGCTCAAGCATTTTACATTGAAAAAAAATATCTGTAAAAGAATTATTTCAGATGATGGAAGATTTTTCTGGATTGGCTCTTCCTCCTCTTTTTGGTGGACACATCTTGGAGGCAGAGCTGGAGCCTGGTGGAGTGGAGCTCGGACCAGGAGAGGTAAGAATGTAGACGATGGGAACATTAATCTTAATAGTTCTCCATTTTTGGCAGTTTTGCTTAAAGTTTCTTTGTGGGCATTGCTTTCTTTCCATTTTCAGTTCAGCATTTGGACAACATCATTTTATAAGGAACGTTTTCTTGTTAAGATACTTGACACCTAAATGTAAATAATTTAACCATAAAAATATATTCTTTATTAACAATTCAAGTGCCTATCTGAAGAGATGGATCAGTGTTATGTTAAGAGATAACAAAGACCTAATTTCAAATAGAAAACTACACTTTTTCTAACATCTTGTTGCAAACACACACTTATTTACTATTTTTTTGTTGCCATTATAAGAAAATACTAAGAAATGGCTCAGCTGGACCCACTCAAATATTTATAGCCATGATGACACATGTTTTATCATGTTCCATTTTAAATGCTCTAATTGTTGATTTTTCTTTAACAGCTACACTTGTAACTTGTTTTTGGCATGTTTACACGTATGATTTAATATATTAAAGCCATATTTTCTAAAACAAACGGCATCCTTGTTTTTGTTGACATTAAACAATAGTTGTTTTTTCCTCTTTGTGCCACACTGTTAAACTGTTGCATAGTTTCTCATCATATGATACCTTATGGTTGAATCAATTCAGGATGACAAGGATGTTGCACTTCATCAGTGTTGGAGGTCAATGCCTCAGGATCATTTAGACTAATCTCTCCTTTTTTAGAGTTGGTTGTGGGTGTTTTAAAGCAAGTGGGAACACTCTTGTGGCACTGACATGTTAAAGCTGAGCAATAACACAAGCTGTTTGACAGGAACAATTCTTCAGGACATGGCCAGGAATGTTAATAATAGTCAGTGGTACTTTTTGTTTACAGCTGAAATGACGTGTTGATATTTTGCCTATAAATTCTTCTTCTTGTTACCTTACATTGTAGTTCCAGACTCAACAATAACTTTGTTAGTTTTTGTGTGTTATTCCTTTAACAAAAAACGAACAAAATAATCAGATACTTACTGAACTGAAATGTTCTTTTTGTAGGGTTTATTGTAATGAAACAAATTAAAGTCACACCCTCCACTCAGCATCTTAGTTAAATATTGGAACAAGTTTTAGAAGGATCACAGTAGCCACTTTTTCCTCTGTTAGTTTTACACACAGAGAGAGAATAAACAACACAGAAATATGAGTTCTTCTGTTTTTCTTCAGGTTGAGTTGGACCCAGGAGGTAATGAACTGCTTGAGAGCACAACACAAGAAGAAGAAGAGAGAAGAGCTCTAGACAAAAGAAAATATTTGGCTCTGAGCAGGAGATGTAAGGAAATCGAACAGGTGTGTGTTAGCGTTTACGTTCTGTATGTGGGTCACTTTGCTCACACTTCCTGAATGTGTTTCCTGTGAAATGTGAATAAGAAGAGGACTAAATTTACTAACACTAAGGCGTTTGTGCATATTTTCTAGATATGAAGTTAGTGTTGTATTGATTATATTCATCATTTTTAGAAAATAACAGACATTTCTGATGATTGTGTTACTGTTTTTATCTTGTGTAATTTTGCCACTTTGTAATTTGAGTTTAGGTAAATCAGAAAATCCTGGGTCGCCTTCACCAAGTACAAAGAATTACACGATGCTTAAAAAAAGAGAGACGGTATAAAATCTGATGTTGATATCCAAAATTGTTGTACTTTAAAACGTATCCATTTGAAGAGATGTCTGAGGAGTGCGCTGCGCTGATCTTCACAGGTTTCTCATGAAAACGTTAGATGCCCACGGAGATGATTATAGAAACGCTCAGCTCACTATACTGCTGGAGGTAAGGACTGAAGAGATGAGGTAATATTATAGTATCCAAGGAAGATGTTACATTTAAAAGAAAGGAAAAAAATCAGAAAACTTAAACAAAACAAAAAAAAAAACTCCATTAGGACAACTACAGGTCCTTCTCAAAAAATTAGCATATTGTGATAAAGGTCATTATTTTCCATAATGTAATGATAAAAATGAAATTTTCATATATTTCAGATTCATTGCACACCAACTGAAATATTTCAGGT